TAAAATATGATTTATCATTGTGTTTCGTGAGCCCATTTTGATAGAAATTTTCATCAGTGTGAACAGTGTCCGCATTTATTCCTAGAAGTCAGTTAAGCCATACTCTCATTCATACCCGATTAGGATACTGCTCATAGTATGTATATGTATTTATTATTTTAAAAAAAAAAAAAGTGACAGCTGCTGTTATCTGTATGATAGTTTGGTATTTGTTTGACACTCCTGTTTGTCAATGCCTGGCCAGTTGTTTATGAGGCGGGATCTCTACTCGAAGCATCGCGTATAAAATGTAAATATGAAAATTATGCAAATGCTGTGCTAATGTCCGTCTGTTTCTTTATTAATGTCCATTGCGAGGAGAACAGACCAGGTGTCTATGCGCGCGCGTGTGTGGGTGCGCTAATGTGTGTGTGTGTGTGTGTGTGTGTGTGTGTGTGTGTGTGTGTGTATCTGTGCGTTTCTTTCTCCCCCCCCCTCTCTCTCTCTCTCTCTCTCTCTCTCTCTCTCTCTCTCTCTCTCTCTCTCTCTCTCTCTCCCTCTCTCTCTCTCTCCCCCTCTCTCTCTGTGGTGTGCGCGTGTGCGTGCGCGTATGTGTGTTGAAGAAGCCATTACCCTAAAGCTGAATTGAGTTGGATTTACTTTTGCATGTGTTCGCCATTAGTCTGCAAGATAGATCATAGTGGTTTCCACATTTTGCTAAGCTTGACTGACCACCAATGTAGTAGCGAGGCACTCTTATAGAAGACTCGGGTGTTGTTTTTTGGGGTTTTTGTTTTTGTTTTGTTTTGTTTTTTAAATGTAGATCTAGGGTTTTTTACGCCCCCACGGACAGAATTATGTAGATCTAGGGGTTTTTTTTTACGCCCCCACGGACAGAATTTAGATCATTTAGCAGACGAGCTTCCGACCCTACCAGTCAGAACCAACAGCAGGCTCAGATGGATACAACATCACACCAGAAAGACAGAGATGTATGTACTCGCTTAAAAATTGTTTTCCCCTCTCGGAAATCGAACTCGGGTCTCCTCTGCGTGCGGTAGCAAACTGGGGCAAAGCGCTTCAGCTCACTGCTACACCCCAGGCCTCGGTACAGATGGTGTAGACAGAATGGATGCGACACTACTGCTCGCTTATCGTCCATTTTGTATGTTCGGAAATAAATATAAGGCTACGAAGAGCAAGATACTCATCTCCTCGGGTAATGCTTGTAGAGTGCTTTAACTTGTAAATGTTGGGCCTTGGGAAACACTATTAAAACCTCATGTATAGATGCATGGTGGCCAAAAATAACTTTATAATGACCGGCGTCTGTGGTGTAGCGGTCAGGCGCTTCGCTTTGGCACGCAGGAGACTCTTGAGTTTGTTTCCTGAATGGGGGAAGGGGAACATTTTTTTTCTCGATTTTCTCGGGTCTTTCTGTTGTGATGTTGTATCCTTCTCAGCCCCAGTTGGTCCTGACAAGCAAGGTCAGAAGCATGCCTCCTAAATAATCTTTATTGTGTCATTGGGTGTAAAAATACCTACATTAAAAAAAGAAAAAGCTGCAGTGACCCAAAGATTTACTGGGAGACTGATTTCTGAGGACGAAGGTGTTATAATCTGTCAGATGGAGTCCATTGTGGTTGACGGGTGCCCTGGTGTGGTTTCCTCCTTCCCTATTAAACATCTATTGTCTTCCTCTTTCTTTTCTTTGTATGTTACTCTCTTGTTGCCCCAAACATATTATTATTTGACACTTATATGACCTATTTTTGTTGCAAGTGCCTAAAACTCTTACTTACTAAAACTAAAAACTAAAGACGGAGCCCACCTGAACTCTGCGCGAACCAGATGATATGTTATCGAAGACCCGCTAATTTTATTGTTGAAGCTGACACTTCAGGTGTGTAAAGGCGTACGAAAAGAACCATAAGCGTGACGCCTAATGCGATACTCGTAGTGAATTTTGGGAGATGGCATTAGTTCACTGGTGTGTGTATTGTATATATAATTAACTCATCAAAGGCTTAGCGGACACATATCAGATCTAAGTCTCATCAGCACCAAACCAAAGACGATGTTCCGGCACATTTCGAACCACCATATTACACACGCCAGAAATGCGAGTTTGCGTAGACCTAGATCTAGTTCTTTGCATGCATGTTGTTGCGTGCCTCTTTAAATGCTTTAGTATAAAGAAAACAGAACTGAAAAATCTGTTCGAATAAAGAAGTTATGATTCCTTTTTTTTAAAAAGTGGCTCGAAATAATACTTTTCTGCTTGAGGTGTCGACTGACGCGAATGCGCGTGGCTAGTGAGATGACAAGAACACACGCGGGGACCGGGGAGGTCACTGAGCAGAGATGTCGGTACAGGCACAGTACTGTGGATGCACGCTACACCGTGGGCACAACGGGAGAGAGA